CATGTGGAAAGTATCTGCAGGAATTACTTGGCGTGAGTCAACTGCGAGATCTGTATCGTCTAAAAATAAGGCTATTCTTGGCAAAAACAAATGAAAACGAGACGCTTCTGCCAGTTGCGGCCATTCGAGTGCTTATTTTTGGAGGAGCAAGTGTTCTCTTTCCTCAGGCAGTCTAGTAGGGTTTATAAAACCCTAACAACAACCGTTATGGTATTTCTGATGTGCAATTAATCTCGACATCACGTCTGGGGTTTTGATGATAGATCCACGTCCAGATGTGTACATCCTGGCGAAATCACCGGGTTGGAAGCAATCGAAGCGGTGCCTGTGCGCCGAAAGCGATGTATAAAGACTACGGGCCAGAGCGAACAGGAATATCTGGGGTTGACAGGCTCATTTTGATCGCAACTTACCCGCTGGAATGACTTGCCGTTGAAGTGTCACAACGGCACGCAACCTATTAGTGCGCTCCTTCGCGATTTCTATTAGACTATTCCGTGATAGAGGTAGAGGCAAATATTCGCTATGGCGGACGACTATGGGCAGCTTGAAATGATCATTTTAAACCATATGTTGAGGGGGGGGGGGGGCTGAACCTGAATCATTAGTGGATAACCGACAATCGTCCCGACGCTCGGCGCACCAGATTCAGATGACAACATGGTCAAACTTGTAAGTTATTGGCATCAGATTGCAGCCTTCGTTTGTTCGCGAGATTCACAGCGCCGAGTACTTAGGTGACGGTATGTGAAAGGCGAGGGTCTTGTGTCGGGAGAACAGGAAGCTGAAGGCATTCCGAAACCACCCCGGTTACAGGAGATTTGGGGGTTCCCTTGCTGAGCATAGTTACTTCTCCAGATAAAATGTCAATGGGTAATTCATGAATCACAATGGAAGGACACTTTCAGGTACTTTTTGTATAAACTGGGTAGCCGCGTGCCATCACTGGTAGATCGCCGCCCTACCTGACATGAGAATTGCCTGAGAGCAACTCCAGGTTCCCGCGAATCTTTCTGAAGGAGAGCTGGTTTCTTCTTATACAGCGCATTGACATGGCGAGCCACAGGGTACCCCAATAACTTGATAAGAAGATCTAATCCACAACCGAATGCGGGATGGTGGTCATCCGGAAGTAGGGCTGCAGTGACACCATAACAGGTGTGACTGCGGTTACAGACCTTTGGCTTCTTCCTCGAGTCCCTATAGTTCGAACTTCCATCCATCCATATTGATCTTCTCCCTTTCTTGCCCCACATCGTCTTGCTCGTTGTCCACGACTTTGACGAAAACGCTTCAAAAAACGTTCACCACAGCGACCACGGCTTATTCACCCATAGATCCGCCTCTCCCCAACACCCTTCTTAAAGCTGTCCTTCCGTTGCGCAGCCGTACCTGTACTCCACCCCACAGCGCAGCGTAAACCGACCACTCTCGTTTCACTCATTTTTTCTAATCCTATCATTCATATCCGATCCCCCCATCGGCATACTATATATCTTCCCTGCTTCTCTAATTGCATTGCCAACATTCTACTTCTCAAGCCCCAGCACGAACGCCGGTCTGCGTGATTTTTACTGGTAACACATGGCTGACACCGCGAATCGTTCTGTCGTCGGCGTGCACTATCGCGTGGGGCGCAAGATCGGCGAGGGGTCCTTCGGTGTTATATTTGAAGGTGCGTGGCCTTATCGAGCGGGCGCTGTGTGCTCCGGCCGATGCATGTTGCACCCCCGCCTACAGGCACAAATCTACTCAACTCGCAGACGGTCGCGATCAAGTTTGTGAGCGCTGTTGATGACCTGCCGTTGTTGCGTTCATTTACCATGGGGATGCACAGGAACCGCGGAAGTCAGACGCCCCGCAGCTCCGGGATGAATGTCGATCGTATAGGATCCTAGCTGGTTGTCGTGCGTGCTCGTGTTGCTTTATTCTTGTTCTGCCGTCGTTGGTTGCTGATACTTTATGCAGCCGGTATTCCACAGATTTATCATTTTGGCCAGGAGGGCCTGCACAATATCCTCGTTATCGATCTTTTAGGTCCAAGTTTGGAAGATCTTTTTGACATGTGTGGGAGGAAATTTAGCATCAAGACGACATGCATGGTGGCTAAGCAGATGGTATGTTTTCATTTGGCTTCTTTACGCCTTCATGTCCCATGACATGTCTCCATAGCTGTCACGAGTTGAGACAATCCACACGAAAAATCTGATATACCGAGACATCAAACCCGATAACTTCCTCGTTGGACGGCCAGGGAGCAGTGCCTCCAATACAGTACATGGTCCGTGATCCCCCTGTCGTTTCGTTTGACGGTCTATATTCAATTAGTGTACAATAGTTGTCGACTTCGGGATGGCGAAGCAATATCGAGATCCTAAGACGAAGCAGCACATCCCATACCGTGAAAGAAAGAGTCTTAGCGGTACGGCGCGTTACATGAGTATCAATACCCATCTGGGCCGGGGTGAGGATTCGTCACATTGGTCTACAAATGATTGTTCCTCATGTGTGTATGTGACGCAGAGCAGTCGCGGCGTGATGATCTAGAGGCTCTAGGCCATGTATTCATGTACTTTTTGCGCGGCGGCTTGCCGTGGCAAGGTCTCAAGGCAGCTACTAACAAGCAAAAGTACGAAAAAATTGGGGAAAAGAAGCAGACAACCCCCATTAAAGAGTTGTGTGAAGGTTTTCCAGGTAGGGGTTGTATATGTGTACCTACTCTTGGACGGTTCTGATCATTCTGACAGAGGAATTTGGTATCTATCTAAACTATGTCCGCAAACTCGGCTTTGAGGAGACACCGGATTACAAATTTCTGCGAGAACTATTCACGAAGGTGCTCAAGAACATGAGCGAGACTGAGGATGGAGTATACGACTGGATGATGCTGAACAGTGGCAAAGGATGGGATTCAGGGGCTACTAGTGTATGTTGCCTCCGTTTCCTGCGGACAGACTCACGCTGATCGTTAACTTGTGACCTGACAGAATGCCACCGCCAACCTCCTCGCAGCATCCAGCCAACAACCAACCGGCTCCCGCACCCAGGCCCGTCCGCAACGCACATCTCAACAACCCACAGCACCCGGTGTCATACCACCCTCACCTGCGCTGGTGCGACAAGGTTCGAAACAGCGCAAGGTCCCCTCTGCACTAACACCCGGCGGCGGCGGCGGCGCTATGACGCCGAATTCTAATGCGGCACACATGGGCGTGCCGGCACCGACGGGACGACGTATGAGTCCGCAGCCGCAGCAGCAGCAGCCACAACACCCGTATGCGACAAGTACGGGCGCGGTGCTAGCGCCGTCGTATGGACCAGGGCGCGAGGAGAGTTACAGTGGTGCGGGATATGGGCGGAACTCGCCGATGATCGCGAGTACTGTGCCGCCAGCGGTGAGCAATGTGCGTGTGCTGGGGGAGCAGCAGACCGCTGGGGAACCACATCCGTCGTCTTCGTTGTGGCGAATCTTGACATGTCGCTGTGGCTAGTGGCGTTCTCTGTCACTCACCTTTGGCCTTGACTTCTAGACTTGTTTCGTGTTTCTGCTCTTTCATTTTTTTTTTTGGATTGGATGTTGTTTCCTTTTATCCTTCCTCCACCACCATACCATGACCGCACTCGCATCAAATATTGCATGGATTCCCAAATTTGCCGTTCTCAGATATTAATTAATTCCTTCATTTTTTCCCCCATCTGCTTTCGTTTTAAGCCGCCATGGTGGCATATATGATGATAATGACTCATGATTTTTTAAAGGTCTTCCCGCGATGGATGCATCTGTCAATCACATTGTTTAGCGGTTTTAATGCCTAATCAAGAAACATAGTGCGCAGCTGATCACGTCGCTATCTAGATCCCATGTCGTAACTATTTCCAGCACACGTATATATATATATATATACCCCCATGGACTATCTGTCCTTTTCATAACTGAGACCCTGATTGTTAATCAGACAGCCTAGGAACTATTCGTTTGATGCGTAATTGCAGAAAGTCAGCCTCGATTTAAGTTCAAGGTGTCTCGTCTTTATATCGTACTACATACATGTACATCGTCGACACGATCATCGTATGGTGCACGCTGACCGCTCTCATGTCTATTTTTGAGCATGGCGTGCATGCCGTCCAAGTGCATGTTGTCCAGGCACCTGACCTGGGGATGGTGGACTTCGGCGAGGACGCGAGGACGCCGTATGCGAGCGATATCGAGAGCTGAGAGCACCAGTGCGTCGGTCTGTGGTTCACGAAGGCAAGGGATGCATCTGCTATGGTACGGTAAATCGAACGGTGTTTTAGTATTAATAGTGATGTGGCACACACCAACAGCTGGACATCCCATCCCATCCCATCCTGCCCGAGCTCGCGGCTGATTCGTTCGAATTCCGGGTCGACGACACCCGATCATCCATGGCCATCCATGGCCAGCTCTTTGTACAAATATACATTCAGTTTGAAAGTACGCCCCCGAGGAAGGCTCGCGACGAATCTCGGCATCGGTTGTTGACGTTTGGTAGGAGGGTCATCGATGGATGATAGTGCTGGTTGGTGGCAAGTGTAGGACCATGAGTGTTCAAACGGTGCTCGACTCACCGGATCGCAGCGCGAGGACCAAATCGATACGGCGAGGAAGCGGGAGATGAAGGGAATAAATTATAGATCGAGACGTGATCGTGATATTGATATCTGCGCATTTATATTGTATTTCTCCGATCAATATGTATTACCAATATTTTATCTCCAATTTATTATCGATCGTGTATGATATTAATACAATTCTAGTCGTAAATTTAAATGCTTTCATACTTAATTGTGTGACATTATGGATGATGAAAAGTCAATTAATGTTATCACTCGGATGGTGAAACGGTATCATGCTTGCCTTCCACTACATTGTGTAGCAAGCGGCACGGGTTCGACTCCCGTTCCGAGTATTCTTTTTTGTCTTTGGTGCACTTGTTATTAAGTGCACAAGAGTTGTGGCCCTCATAAAACACCATACTCGGATGGTGAAACGGTATCATGCTTGCCTTCCATTACCTAATGCAGCAAGCGGCACGGGTTCGACTCCCGTTCCGAGTATTGGTTTTTGTCACTTTACTCTTGCAACAGTGGTAATATCATTCATCTTCACGGTTAGTGGAGACAGCATATTTTTTTTTCTTATAGTAATGATACTCGTTAAATTTTCCGGATAAGCTGAGAACAAGCTATTCTCCTACCTAAATAAAAGTAGCATGAGGGCTCGCATGCAGCGTACTGAGAGGGACAAAAGGGTAACTGTGTTTCCTTGTATTGTGCGTATAAATGCCTAACACATGTCAGTGATTATAGGAAGTGACCAAAAATAAATAAAATTAAACTATAGTCATTGGATGATTCATGATGATCAAACCAGTTCCAATACATAAAATTATCAGGAAGTGGAGGAAAGCAAATAAGCGGATTGGAAATGCCTCTCCTCTCGGCTGTTTTTAGAAAGGATGCCTGTTCATATGGAATTGCAAAATATAAAAGGCATACGCGATCCATCTCACGACGTTCACCCCTTATGGTAAACAACTGTATTCCACCTCGTGCTATGAACAGACAGAGAGCAACGTATATTTGGTGCAACAAAGAACCGGAAACAAACCTGGGTGTGGAGATACCTGGAACCCAAGTATGCATCTCGGGGGATCAGCGACCGGGGCGTAGCTATCCAGCCTTATAACGCGTGCCTTGTAAAAACACCCTCCAAAGTGTCCCGCACCCGGTTCTCAACCCTTTTCAGGGATCGATGTGCGTGTCGCACTGCCAGTGCGTCAAATAAAAGAGTTGTAGCGCTGAAATTCGAGAAAATCTCTTCAGGGTTAAATGCAAAAGTAATTTAAAATTTATGTCGCAAAATGATAGGATCGATTTAGCCCCCAGTAGCCAAGTACAGCGAGTCCAAGCCATCATTCCGAAAATCTAATGGGCCCCAGTAAATGCGTGGTCATTCCCCGATGCCGAGCGCCTCGTTGCAAAAAACTGTTTTTTTTTCTGCCAAATCCAAAAGGGCAGGAGGCAGGTGTGAACTTTGAAATAGCGCCAGCGTAATGGTCAAATATGATCATCAGCACTGAGCATAAGAGAATTGATGGAACAGACAATGATGACAACCTAATCGGCACAGGTCGTGCGTCTCGCTTTTATGATAAAGAGCATTCCAGAACTGATGTCGCACATTGTCTAGCGCGCGTTTCGAGGTTTTGATCGCATCATCCGATACGATCACGGCACGATCACAGAGGATGGGTGGCATTTCTTCTGATTATCTTATATCTTGTCGTGGGAGGCGCTGATATTCCAACGCACATCACTGTTGCTCGGCAGCGCGTACTTGCCTGTGTGGATCTCAGCGAAAAGTGATGGCTCCAATTTCTTGCGGAATACGTGCGAAAACCGGCAGGATGCGACAAGCCGCTGCCATATATACGAGTGCTGCATAGCTCAGAGAACAAAATTAGCACGTGCAAAATCATCCATCAGCACCGCCCACCAGGACTCAGGTGACAGGGGTGTATGCAGCCTGGCTAATGCGTGAACAGTGTCCAAGAATATAAGAGACAAGCGCAGCCTTCCTAATTTCAGGTTCGCGGCTTGGATCATTGAGCGCACGTTCGCGCTCGAGCTGTATACATAGCGCCTCCTCCGGAAGTCGGTGGGCGGATCTTGCGGTACAGCGGGACGGTAAGCCTGGATCGTCAGAAGGAGTCCGAGCTCCGAATGACTATTTATTACCCCATCGGTATCGGGCATGCTGTGCCTGACACTGCCTGAACAGCAAGGGCTGACGTGGCGGATAAATAAGCCCTCTTCGCAATTAGTGGGGTAATCTAAGCTATACACCAGAATCTAAGACTTGGACGTGGGATATGGCCATTTTAATTAGAACATTCGGTTTAAAATGGATTAACGTGTAGCGTGGATCTCCAGGACCGGGTCGGGGTATGAAAACGATAGGCCAGAGAATATTGGATTGCTAATGATGCGATGGTTTTTTTAAAAATAAAAAAATAAACATTTCGAGGATTGAGAGTTAGAACGAGATATAAAAAAATAAAAATAAAACCAAACACTTGCTCAGTGCAACCAGCACGCCTATATCAGGCAGTGAAAATGGTGGCGGCGACGACTTGAAGGTTACTTCCATGGGAACATCTTCGCTCTTAATGTAGACCGGTGATGGTGTCCTGGCACAAAGCAGATCATACGGAACAAGTCTGCTGAGTTGTATCGTCAGAGTCTCAGAATCGGAGAACGCTGATGAGACCGGGCAGGAAGTGCCCTGGACAACATCTAACCTTGACAGTGGATATTCCTACATGTCAGGGTTCAGGACGGACACTCACGCGAATGCCATCGGTCGACATTAGGAGTTAAATTGCGACCGGGTAGAAGGGGATTTTTATGTCTTGGGATGATAAGCTCTGCAGTGGCAGCTGTCGGTATTTCGCGCACATATATTGGAAAAGGTGCAATGCAGGCAGGCGTGCGTCCCTGATTGGACGACGGAGAGGAAGCCACGATTCGACGGAGAATTGTGATTCTGTGATAAACCCCACCTGGGATAATTAAAGAACAGGATCATGACACCACGCGGCTGGCGTATATCAGTCCACCAGGACATGAACGCTCCAGAACTGGGCATCACTGCGACGGGGCATCGATTCATTGCGGCCAACGCAGCACGACACAAAGCATGCTCTTCGTGCACGAGCGTCGGGCGAAGCACCAACGATGATATGTAACATGTTGAGACGCTTGCAAGTAATTTGGCTTTAGCCTAAATTAGCCCCACTTATGATACTCAGGGTTCTCGCCAAGCGATCGCAACAAGTGCCAATAATTATATTCCATCCCAATTTTATACAGCAGTCGTGAAGAAATAATGAGAGTGTCGCAGGACGAGGCCTATTCTGCCTTCTCCCACCGAAGCTATACAGGAGACCGCACCAATGTCTGCCGATACGACACGGTCGGTAGGGCTGTGACGCCGAGGAGATCTCATCTAAGGGGTGTGTACATGGGCTGGGAACAGCATTCACCCTCCGTTTTCCAGTGGGCACTAGACATTCCAGACATACACAATTAACGATCCCTGAGGACTCCACTTTTCGAACACTGCGGGCGTCGGAGGTGCTATACAAGGAACATGTGCATTGGGCACCTGGCTGAGGTAATTGCCTCGGATCAGGCGTCTCAAGGGCGTCTTTGAAGACGGCGGTTAAGCCAATCTTGTGAGATTACTGGGTGTCTTCGGCGTGTGCGGGGGAGATAAGTCCACGGTACTAAAATGCAGATATTAAGAGCAACGTTTTGGGTGAATTTCGCATCGAAATCCCAGGCATGACCAGAAGGTTCTGTTACGCTGACCGTGCCGTATTCAGTGGGCTAATTACTAGAGACGCCATGTCAAAGGCTGCCATTACCAGTGAGAATTGCGCGTCTTGAACAGCGCCTTGGGGCTTTAATTAGAAGGGGTGGTGAGCGACGACAAGGATGATTTGAGTAATATTTTTGCCATGCTTGATGGTGGTGGTTGAGAGGAAGGAGACAACGAGGAATATAATTAGTTTTTCCGAAGAGTGCAAGGCAAAATCTGGCCTATATATCCAGTATGTGCGCGTATTTGTCTTGGTTGCGGAAGAGTCAAAAGAGCGCACGTGAGGGTTGACTCTGATTCTGAACCTTTAGCAGGAACTTCTCTTGTCTTCCAACTGCCATCTCCTCAGCACTACCCTCGACGTCCTCCACGATGCCCTCAGAGCACTGCGACACCGTCGGTCTCGAGCAGCCTATTTCTCCTCAAATAAAGCTCTGTTCAGACTGTCATCGGCCTCTCTCCCCAGAGTCCGTCACCCTTCTCCACCCCCACGCCGCAATCGTATGTACACAGTGTCGAGAACGGATATACGCTGCCCCAACAACAACAAAGGACCATGACTCCGTAAAGGACATCGATTGTTCCCTCGACTTTATCGTACCACTCCAAGACCACGTCGCGATCGAGGACGTGGCCGTGGACATGCCCATGCCCTATCGCACCCCCAGCCCCACCCCATCTCTCTCTCCCTCCCTTCCAGCATTCTCGCCCGTCTCGGTACTAGCATTGCCCATCTCTGCCCCGTCGCACCACCAAGAGCCCCAATTTACACCACCATCAACCCCGCCGAGCCACGCTGTCGTGCATCCCGGCCATGTCCCCTCGAATAGCGATCCAAATCCGCGTGCAGACATCAGCTACCTGCGAGTTCGCTCTCATAGCCAGGACTGCCTATACCCCGGCGCCATGTTCAGCGGCACACAAAAGAGCGGCCGGAGCAGCTATGAGGTGTCTGTTACCATCGTGGTGCGTATTCTCCGCTGCTCCCAAATAGGAAGCGTTAGAGCTGCATCTTGACGACTGCTTCTGCCCTCGTCGTCTTTTCTTATCGCGCTATGTATATGTGTCAACATTCTATTTGCGGTGCTGATGTCGAGTTTGCGTAGGACGTCGACTTTAGCTCCTCATTCCTATGCGGCTACCTCCGCATCCGGGGTCTGACTGACGACTGGCCGGAACTCACGACGTACTTCGACGCAGAAATCATCGGCTCGCGGTACGGCTTCATCACAGACAACTGGGGTGCGTCTGAAACCGAGGACATGACCCACTGGGGCCGCTTTCCTGCCTTCCACCGTGTCAAGTCTGAAATACGGGGTCCGAGACATACCATGCGCGAGAGGGCCCGGGATTGCGTGTTCATGCGGTGGAAGGAGAGATTCTTGGTGCCTGATCACAGGGTGAGGGATATCAATGGGGCGAGTTTCGCTGGTGCGTTGGATATGGATTTCAATATACGTCCTTGTTCCTGTGCTGAGCTTCACCTGTTCTTCGTGCAGGCTTTTACTATGTCTGCGTAGAGTTTAACCCCGACTCTCACAAGTCACATACACGTTCGAAAACGACGGCTGAGCCACCCGATGTGCACACGAAGAGCGACGTCTTGCCCTTATCTCCCTCTGCCTCTACTGCCACCTCTTTATTATCGGATGATAGCTCCTGGGACTCTGAC